TTAATCCGAACCAGGAAACCTAATCTGACTAGAAAAATCTTCGGTATTTTAGTTGTAACTTTCTTATCCGACATCAGAATAAGGTGATCTAAGATTTGTTGGAAAGATATTAAAGAGACCTACAACTTTGCTCTTTTACACTTATCTAGATTCCGACTGTATCGGTGTGTAAAATATAAAAACTCTCAACTGGTCATTATTCCCAGATTTTTACTCTTTTGACCTTTGTGCATGTTTTGTGCATTTGCATACATATTTTCACAAATATACATTAATTTAATCTCAAATCAATTCTTATCATACTCAAACATCAAAATATGTTATTTTTTACCATATAACATATTTATCATTATTTATCATAAAATATTTAAATTTACGGGGTTTTACAAAGAAGTACCCTGAGCTTGGGCGATCTTTGATTTGGAAGCAATTTTCTTTTGGGAGCCATCCTTATTGCGGAGAAGATGGGCGACGAAGGATCTAAGAACAAAATTTTCCTTCGATTGAAGCGTCGGAGAAGATGAATAGGAACCCTGTTAAGTGCTCAATAAGAGAGTAAGAAGAGAAAAGTCGAATGACTTTCGATTTGACCCTAGCGGATTAGTTTATATCTAGTTGTAGCGGTCAAATAAATGCGAGATTCTAGGTAAAAGAAAATATCACCTGAAACATGATTTTCGCGTTTTCAAGAAAGTAGTTTCAAGCTCCAAAACGCACCCTCACATTCTGATAAATCAAACGCATGACTTAGCCATGTGTTTCGATGCTCGGACTCAGTCATTCGCGAAACTCATCCTTTCGAATGGCTTAACATTCCAACTAAGAGTGATGATGATATTATTGAAATCATCACCCTAGTTGAGATGATAAAGAAAGGAGACAAAGTGGATTCCTATAAGGTTGTCCTCTTACCAAACTTGGATAAAATCCTTCTCGACCACAATGATGGATCTGTCTTCAGCCAAAAGGTGTTTAACTTCGTTGAAGAAGACCTCATTGACAAGTTTGCAGTGGGTGTTTCTACGATAAGCTTCGTTATTGCGCCCATAGCCACGCGTGGAGTGTTCATAAATTCCTATAAGAATTTTTTGGACAATTGAATACATCTCATTGCAGATTGAGTGAAGTATTTCAAGGACCCAAACAAAACCCGAAGAATACACCTCATCACAGATGGAGTGGAGTATCATAAGGATCCAGAAAAGATCATTATCATCTTCATCACAATGGGATTTAGCTTGTTTGACTAAGTTCATTATCATCAAGGCACAAAAGTTACCTCACTTGGTTTAAGAAAGTTGAATCACTACGTTCCGACAACCAAGTTCACGATGTCTTCGAATCAGACAGAGTGAATGATCAAGTAACAATATCTCGGGATCCAAAATATTCTGAAAATTCGTCTCACTCAACCGTGAACTTTTGAAAACTTTGGAGGGGGTTCTGTAGGCTGTCTAAAAATCACAATAGATAGTTGACCCCTGTCAAACATCAACCAACAGTTTTGGCTAAGAAGGTTACAATCAGACGACTTTCATGTCAACAAATAAAGGCTACAATTGGAGGATTCTCATGTAGATTAAGAAGAGATTACAAGTCAACAATTTCTTTAAATCGAGGTGCAGAATTCATCCTTGCATCCCAAAGTTGAAATACAAGTGATTACGTTCTAGAGTCAAAGCAATGTAATCACCCATCTTCGGCTAACAACGCAACTCAGACACAGCATAAACGTAGTATTTTTAGCCACTGAACGCAGCATAAACGCGGTACCGATTCGACCGCGGGTGCAACTCAAACTCAGACGCTGACGCATCATCCAAAAGCATGCATTTGAACGCAGGTTCATGCCCAGAATGTAAATCATGGCTTGGACTAGTTCAAACGTGATCCAAACAGTTCCCAAAACCGTTTTTCACCCATGATCTGGAGAGTGGTTCGAGTGGGTTGTTACACCCGATTAATAGGGCAACTAATCCCCTATTTAGGAGCGGATTAAGGAGGCAGTTACACCCCTAATCTCTCTATAAATCCCAACAAACTCCACAGAGTGAAGGGATCAGATTTTTTATGATCTGAGGAGGATTCTTTTGGCTAGGGTCTTGGGAGATCAAACTTCAAAAAAGTCGAGATTAAGGGTTGGGGCTTAGAAGGCATTCTTCAGCAATGAAAGAATTCATATACTTGGCATATTAACCGATTATTCGTTTAAAAACAACTCTTTTAATAGAGTTTTGCACTCGTTCTGAGTCATAAAACTCATAAAGAGTTCTCCAATTGTTCCAGTAAAACAAGACGTTCGTATCGTCAACGAGAAGCAAACTTGACGCAAGCATTCGAGGGAGGCATCTCATCGCTACTGTGAAGAACCCAATCGTCAACGAGAAGCAAACTTGACGCAAGCATTCGAGGGAGGCATCTCATCGCTACTGTGAAGAACCCAGAATTAAACAAAGGGGAGAATCCAGTTCGAGGGAGGCATCTCATCGCTACTGTGAAGAACCCAGAATTAAACAAAGGGGAGAATCCAGATCATTATCCTCTCTTTTGTAATCAGAATTCAAATTGTAATTAAGATCGATAGAATACAAATCAAATTTCTTTTATTTTATTTACTACAAATTTTCCACCAAACAATAGCATGAGTGCTATGTATTTGTCAAAGAATCAGGTCTTTCATGTGAGGACGAAGCATATCGATGTTTGTTATCACTTCGTTCGAGATATTCTTGAAGATGGGGATGTGGAGCTCATGAAGGTCCACACAAAAGATAATCCAGAGGATATGATCACAAAGGTGGTTTTAAGCATTAAGTTTGATCATTGTAGAAATTTGTTGCAAATTCGTGATTGTTGAGGTTGTTCTCGGCCATTTGGATGAATTACGAGTGGCTTGATCCTTTGGGAGAGGGGGTACGTAAGCAACTACATTGGTGCAGTCGGATTTGGCGAGATGACGCAGTGGTGCTCATGTTAGTGTCGGCTCAGTTTTGAAAAAACTTCACCAATGTGGAGAATTATAGAAAACACGACGAAAATTAGAAAATTCGAGTTGAAATAATAGCTACAGTAACCCTTCGGTCGGTCGATCGAGGGTGCAAGGGCAGTCGACCGAAGCAATCGTCAGGAAAATAGGATATAGGAATTCTCGGATCGGTCGACCGAAGGCAAAGGTGCGGTCCACCGAAAAAGTGCATGATTACAAGGTAAAAAAATGTGCTTCTGGCCGGTTGACCACATGGCTATGACCGGTCGACCGCAATGCAGTTATAGGCCAGTTTTGGTTTTCCTAGTTGCTTTTGGATTCGTGTTTGATATAAATACAAACACGTTTTTTAAGATTTCTTAAGGAGAGAATTAGCAGACTTTTGAGCACTTTGAGAGGGAGATATTGTGAGGGAGTTGAGAACTTTGGTTAGGGTTATATTTGAGTGATTTTGTGAGTTATAACCAGTTGTACATCTTCTCCATATAGTAAAATCTCCCCTATCCTCTCCCCGTGGACGTAGGCAATTACTGAACCATGTAAATCTGTGTGTTCGGTGTGATTTGTGTTGTATTTTAGTGGATTGCACTTGTATTTGATTTGGTTTTCTTCTCTCGTGACTTACAGACTCGTTTGGTGTGCGAGCACGCTTCCACAAGGCGCGCAACAGATTTTACATTGATAAAATAGCGTGCAGATAATATGAATATTCTGCTTTCTATAAAGAGATTAATTGGTAAAAATATGCATTTTTATGTGAAAGTTACTGAGTTTAATAGAAGTAAATGCATTAAAGACAATACAAACATTAATTTTAATGATGACGTGGATGTTGAAAAACTCAGGGGATTATTACTGCAAATTGATGGCAAGGTAATACTTCAATAATCTAACTAATAAAATTATATTCAACAAGCATACGTAATGTGTTGATTGTACTATAATAAATTTATTTTTATCAAAGGATGGGAAATCCGACGATATGTCACATATTGATGGCTATGACAGTCAATTCATCGAAGATACTCCTAATTTATCCACACCTAGAAATACAATTGATAAAAAGTTTAAAAATAAGGTTTTTGAGAAATTTAATATCAGTTCTTTATTTTAAGAATAGAATCATGTTTGTGTTATTCTAAGTGAAATGTACTATTATCACGGGATGAAAATGCAAATGAAATCAATCAGGATGGTATCATTGATAATCAATCCTTTAAATTACATCCAGACATATCTACAGCCATATTGATCATTAATAGCATGGAAAAAAGAAGATATTAGATATATCACCTATTGCTATCCTTGATAGTTCTGCATTTAAAACACCACCTGCAACCAATACCTAAACAGAGATGCAATTAGGTTGGATATTCTATACGTTAACTATTTTAGTTTATAATTTTATATAAATTTTAATATTTTACTCTTGAATTTAATTATTATACATGTTTTACTTATTTTAAATAGGAACAAAGAATCGGCTCCCTCAAGTTTGAGGAAGAGGATGAAGACGAAGAAAAAATGATTGAAATTTAGAGGAGCTTTCTCTAAAATTTTACATATGATATACTCAGAATGGTTGATTGATAGAAAATATTTTTTATTGCATCCATTGCGATTAATGTTTTGGAAATATATTATTTATATCTTTATTTTTTCGACTTGCATTAAGTTACTATTTTTATATCCAGTTTATTCATTACATAAGTCAAATTTAAGTTAAATGATTTTAATTTAACTATAGCATATTACATTAGTTCTATTATCATGGTTTCCAAGCATGGACAAATTTTGTTTACCTCAGACAAGGAGAGGAAGGGGTTAAAGTACTTCGAAAAGTGAAGTTATTAGAATTTTTTAATTGTTTGCGGATATGAGCGGTTGAAATACGACGAAATCGAGGTGAACTTCAATAAGCCCGTGCTTAGCACGGGCTAAAGTACTAGTTTTTTACATTGTTACAACTTGCCCATTCGTTCAATCATTCTTACCTGGCATGGATCTCATAGTTACTAACACAAAAATATACATGTGGATATTCCTTATTCTATTATTTCACTCTTAGTTTTCAACAGAACGGATAAGAAAGCTGATGAAATTACAGAGGCGCATTTGTTCCTTCATGCACAGTTGTCCCTTTTCGACAAATTAAAGTGTTACTCTCAGCTGCATAGACTATTTTTCCTCCCTGCGCAATTGTTTGACATCATTATGTGCTTATAGTTGAGGTCATGCAACTATATCTGTAATAACTCTTAACCCTCATCACAAATCCGAAGTTATGATACAACGGAAGTTCATTAAAGATAATATTAAAGCAACTCATGCTCAAATCTTAATTGGCATGCATCTAAAGCGAGCTAAAAAATATTATACATAAAATAACCTTCATATTTTTAATCCATGAAAATAATGTTCAGTACGCATGTTGTATAATTATCTCTCAATCTTGATCACAGCTCCAGAGTTTTGATGTCGTAGTAGGACCTTAAAGAAGTTAGCATGGAAAGATCTATCCATATCTAGTTGAGAACTAGAAAAGCAAAGGAGCAAGTGAGAGTTGGACTGTTGCACGCACTAGTGCCCATGAGCAAGAAGCGCGTTTTTCAGGACCGTGCATGTGTTCTACACTCTTTAGACCCATATTCCATCTACATTCTTATCTTTGAGGAGTGTATTACAACCAATAGTGGGCAATAAATACTCACATATCAACCTCAACTCAACAAGGGAGTGCTAGTGGTGGTCCATGGAGCTATGAACTTGATGGATGATTTCATGAGTTCAGTTATAGTGTCGCTACTTTTTGCACCCTCTTATGCACTAGTAGGTTTTCTATATGAGACAATCCTAAAATTTTCAGGTTTGGTTCTTATCATGGTATACATGATCATTGAGAATCTAATAATTTAGCATTTAAATGACACAAAAGAAGATAAAGTATATAAAATCAAATCATTCAAATGCTCTCTTTCATAGATAGAATTATCTTAGCACAAACAAAACGCCCTCTCTTCTCTCACCCCCTACGTCAGTCAACCGAAATTACTAGAAAATATATATATACACAATTATATACAAACATTATAGCTAGCTAATGCCAAAAACACCCCTTCTAACTCTCAAACAACTAAGGTTAACTGCTAACAAGGTTATTAATCCTAACATGAATCTAGAATATGAAGAAGAAAAACTCAATCAATGAAATTAATTTGGTGAGCAAGAGAAGACCATGAACTGGTTTGCTTCTACTTCAAAGCATTGTTCAATATCATCCGCGATTCTTCTTGCATCCATTGATGCACCTAATAATCCTCTCTTTGTGAACCCAACGGCGTAGAGTCCGTTCTCTCCTTTCCATCCATTGGGAAAAGGTCTCCTTGGCATTCCATCCTTCTCTGAGAAAAACTCCCTCTCCTACAAAGCCAAATACATCTTCTATCACTCCTAACTTTTGGCAATAATATAACAAACATAAATGTACAGTTATATTATTAATTGAAACAATGTATAATATTCATCTCTTCTTATGCCTACTTATTCTAAGGTATTTCCTTGTAAAGTCTCAAATACTCTGTAGTGTAAGTTGGCAATAGTATAAGATAAATAGTTTTATTTTCAAATAGATGCCCTAGGTTGGCAACATAAACCATATCACATTTTAATGTTTAGGAGATTCTAATAAATGTTAGATTCTCATCTTATCTAACGTGTGTTATTATGCACATTTATACGTACTAGTAAAAATGTACAAATAGTTCATTTTTATATGTGCATTTGTACATACAAAAAAAAAAATGCATGTACATAATGAAAAATAGTATATAAGGACATCTCCAACAGCTTCTCTAAAATTTTCTCCAAAATGGGGAAGCAAAAGTCATATTCTCCAAATTATTTTTACACAAACTCCAACAGCTTCCTCATTTTGAAGAAATCCCTTTATTCCTCCAAAAATTTGAAGAATGCTGCAGATTTGGGGAAGCTTCTCCATTTTTTCTCCTCCATCCCTATTTTGGAGAATGAGATGGGGAATCTGTTGGACCAAAAACCTAACTATATTCTCCAAAAGTGGGAAATGGGGAAGCTGTTGGAGATGCTCTAACAAGCTAACTTTTTAATGTACATTTATATGTTCCAGAAAATTTAGCAAGAATTCGTCAATGATAACCATTTTATGCAAAATCTGGACAATGAATATTACGAAGAAAATGTATGTTATATTACCTTCAACCAAGACGGAACATTACTTCTATACCCAGTAGCTAAGATAATAGCATCAAAATCCTCCGATATCCCATCAACAAACTCCGCCCCTTTTCTAGTCAATCTTTGTATCCCGGGACAAACCTACACCAAAAAATATTAAACTCTAGTCGTTAACAAACCTATTCAACAAATACTAACAATTATACAAAAATAGGGTTTTCTTTATAACAAACCTTAATATCTCCCGACTTGATCTTGGCTAGGGTTCCAACATCAAGAACGGGAGTCTTGCCCGATATACTCTTGAGTGCAAGAGGACCGAGATCAGGCCTCTTTATGCCTAATTTTGCTGTGTCTCCTAACATCAGCCATGATATAAATAGCAAGAACCGGTCCACTGTCTGCACTGGGAACCAGCTCATCAGAGACATCGACAGTCCAAACGTTGATCTACCAAGCATCTCCTGAGGAAGAACATGAACCTAAACATATATACAAAAAAAAAATTTAATTAGGCAAATAATATAAAAGTATGAAAAAGTGGTAAAATGGAATAAACCTAGTTAGCTAGTCCGGTAGTATCTACAACTTTTAGATAGCAACTTGAGTGCAATCTGCTCATCCTTTTCTTATCTCTAATATATACTTAATTAGTATTATAAATAAAAGAGAAAAAGATGTGAATGAACCGAAGTTGACAGGCATCCGTTATAATTTTGCTTGGTTGTGGCATTGGGGTCCCATGCATTAACTAAGTATATTACTTCCTAGAAATCAACTGTGTGAGATGAAGAATAAGCCCACAAAAGACAATAAAGAATAATAAAGAAAAAAAAAACAAAAAACAAAAAATAAAAAATTGGAGTGGTAGAGAACAGAGAGCGAGAATTAATCTCTCCTTGCGCGTGCGTATGAGTCCCAATAAAGGTACATAACAGCAAAACAACAGCTTGTATGGACAGAATCTCTCTCTTTCTTCGCATGCCAAAACCTTTGCTTTTCTTAAAAAAAAATCTAATTATTTAATTTAAAATTGCAGAGTTTATATGCTTTGGAGCTTAAAAAAGAAGGGTTAAAGAATCATGCAATCACCGTCAAATGATAACATATAAAATCTTCAGTTCTTAGTTCTAGAATGAAAATATACGTACTGTTAGATTCTCTATGGGGTTTCTTTCGACGTCGTCCTCTTCTTCTACCCTTTTCTTATTTTATTTTACTTTATTTTATTTTATTTTTTTGGTTGAGAGATGAGAATCTATATGTATGCACTATGCAGTAGTGTTACACCATCTATTATCTTAAAAAAGTAATAAAAGAACTTGTCACATTAATTGACCTAGTTTTCCAAAACTCAATTAAATAGAAAAGCGACATGTTTAAAACGGAAACAAGTATATTTCTAGACATATAACAGAGAGAAAAAAAAATCAGTGAAAAGAAGGATAGAAACCCTAAGTGTCCCAATCTCTATATATACAAGGATTTCAAAACAAAACATGCAACAAGAATAGCGACAAAAGGAAACAGCCTAATTCAAACTAGTGTTGCGAGGAAATGGAGAATGATACCTAATTCCAAATCCTACTTACACTCTTTGAGGAAAAAACACAGAGACTTTATAAAAGTAATGATCTCTCGACAGCTTCTTTTAAAAAATACCTACCGAGTCTCTGACGACGATGGACGGCCGCGCATTGTGATTACACAAATCCAAGCAGACCTCCATCCCTGAATTCCCACATCCAACAACAAGCACCTTCTTGCCTTCGAACTCGTTGCCTCGTCGATAAACGCTCGTGTGGATCCTCGTCCCCTCGAACTCCTCCATCCCCTCGATCTCTGGCACCACCGCCTCCGCATTCTCTCCAGTGGCCACCACCAACCACCTCCCCAAATACGTCCGATGGATTTCTTTCCCGAACAATACAGTCCTCACCCTCCACATCCCCATCCCAGCGTCAAACTCCGCGCTCTCCACAGATTCCCCGAACGCTGGCTTGATGTCGAACTCCTTGGCGTAGGACTCTAGGTATGCCAAGAACTGTTGTTTGGTCGGGTATGTTGGGAAATCCTTCGGGAATGCTTTTAGTGGGAGTTCACAGAATTGCTTGGGTAGATGCAATCTCAGCCGGTCGTACGTCTTGAGTTGCCATAAGGAGGCGATGCACGTCGACCGTTCGATCACCACAGATGGTATCCCCTTCTCCTTCAGGCAAGCGGCAACGGCGAGCCCTGACGGTCCGGCTCCCACGATGATTGGACCTGGGCAGAACCTACACGTGTCCGCGGCCGACTTGAGGAAGAAAGGGTCATGGAGTTGCTTCCCTTGAGTCTCCCTCCATTGCATGGACATGGACATGGCCATTGATAGAGCTAGAGATAGAAGAAGAGGGAATTTGGTTGTGGATAAAGATAGTTGTTATGGTAGAGGAGATGATCTTGATGAGTTTGGAGTAGTCATTTTGGAAAACCTACTCCCTTTTTTAAAGAGTGAGGCAATGGATAAGGAGAGGATTTGCAAAATCTTTTCTCCTCCAAATTTTGTGGAGAAGTGGATTAAGGTGTGAAAAATATGAGGCCTCGCCTTGTTTAGCGGATGTGTTTGGGCTAAAATTAGTTTCAATCCTTATCGTGTATAAGATTTTGTATTTGATCCGATAGAGGAGGAAGTAGAGAGAGAGGGGGGCCGTGAGGGTGGGGGGATTAGAGCTTAGCCAAGCAAAGGCAAGAACAAGGGAATTACAGGGGGGAGAAGAGGAAAGGAGAGAGGGAGAGGGAGTTTTGAGGGGGATTCTGTGGGCTATTTATATTTGCACGTTCGGTTAAGTTTGATTTTTGAATCAAGTGTATGGTAACATGTTGATCTTGGTTGATTAGCGGATCATATATAAGGTGGGGGTTTGATTTTTAAGTGAACTCAATGGTTATGTGACTCAAATGGACTATTCCTATGTGTCACGTTTCTATTTGTGCACATGCATGTGCATGAGAGAGATTGATGCATTGATTTAGTCAAGAATGATATATGGAAGTTACTTTTTGATTTGGAGATGGTTATTTGAGTGGCTAGGGGTGGGTCTCACGTCCACAATAACTTACTTGGGTTGGGACCAATCAAGGCTAGCCATCAACATTCAAGCAACGACACTGAGGGAAATTAAACTTCAAAAAGTAATCTTTTACAATGTGGTGATATTTGTTCTTTTTATAAGTTTGTGGACCTTGATTAGATGTTATTTATATGAATAATAGTGAAATTTTATCATATGTTTTAAACTATTTCTATAACGCTATTATGACGTCAAGGTGGATGGTTCTACTTAAACCATAGACCGCATATTCGAGGTCAAGATAAAACATAACTTTATTCCGACCTTTTCATTCACTCAAGAACTGTATGTTGGAAACAGGACGCAAGCCTAGCCTAGAAGAGGGCGAGGAGGGATGAATAGGATTGCTATAATTATTTTGAATATGTAACGAAAAATAAAAAGCGAAAAAAGGGGTATCCAACACAGGAGCACATAAGATTTTTATAGTGGTTCAGAACAAAATGACATGTCCACTCTTCCTTCTCCCGAAGTGTGTTCTTTACTATGATAGGAGTTATCCCTGAATCACTACCCGATTCAGTAGTCTTTATAAATAGGATCTTGGAATTTATTCAAAACCAGTCGAGATAGCCAACTCCTCACAATAACCAGAAGAAACCTAGTCCTAACTAGCCACACTCAATTAGCACGCCAACCCTCAATTACCCTGATTTGAGTAAGCCGTCAAACAAAATAAGTATAAAATACAAAACCAACTCTAACAACAATCAAAGCACAATAAAAAAGATCTTATAACCTTTTTAAAACAGATCTTCTTTAAATTGATGTCGATTATAATATGTGAAGAAGCAATGTTGATGTTGAACGCAAAGGACGCTCCTCCTCACTAAAACAATCTTTCGATATTGAACGCGATGAGAAGGTTGAATGAGGCCTAGGAAATCAAATTCTCAAACTCAAACTCTCTCAAACTCTAAAATTTGATCTCTCAATCTTATACAAATAGCCTCTCTCTTTCTTGTTCTTATTGTTTTAATCAATTTCCTCATCAATCCCTCTTTAAATAGCCTTGATTGAATTGGAAAGAGGTTCTCTAATCAGAATTCTAATAGGAGATCAAACCTGTCAACGAACGGCTGAGATCGAATATTGAAATCTGCCAAAGCACGTGATAGTTAAACCCGACCATTAATGGACCATTAATGATCATTAATGGTTCCATGTAGTCCATCGATTGTTCAAATTCTAGTTTCTAAAATTTACAAATTGTTGACTGTAGTCCATCGATGATTCATGCGAATATCGATGGTTAATTATAGTCCATCGATGGTTCGATTTCTCAATTGTAGAAGATACAGATTGTTTGACTGTAGTCTGTAGATGACTTGTGCAACCATTCATGGTGCCTCGAGACCATCGATGGTTAATAGGCTGAAATCAACTCTCTTGTTGATTTTTGCATCGTTTTGAGTCGTAACTTGTTCATACTTATTTATTTCTGAAACATATCATCTCACGAACTAATTAGTACCAAATGAGAATTTGTTATCGATCAAATAAGAGATTTGCACAAACAACATTCTATTTGAACAAAGTTCTAACAATCTCCCCCTTTTGATTATAATAAAACTTGAAATTTGAAATCCGAAAAATAAAAAAATAGTAAGATATACACTCAGTACAGGATAATCATATGACATGTATGATATGCAACGCAAGCTCCCCCTACAAATATGCATACATGAAAAAGAATAGGTAATCTAGAAACTGCCCCTAAAACAAAGAAACATAAATTCTTTGTTCGAAACCAAACATGAAAACTCCCCTTAAAACTAAACAAGTTGAAAGGGTAGAAACCTGGGTATTTAGCTTCTTCCTCTTCTCTATCATCTCCCTAGTTGTAATAGCAACAGATAACATCCAGATAAAAATAACCTGAGCTGGATCAAAAAACTAACCTGTGGCTAACCAATAGAGCAATGTGACATCTCTTACAATCAAAGTAGTGTAAGCAACGCTAGGATATAAATCAAACTTAAGAAAAAAGTTAGGAGGAATATATTGAAGTTTCAGGTAACCTGAGTTGAACACCCTTGAAGTGAAACTAACTGAAAGAAACTCAACCATGTAGGTCTACTCTGGAGAACCTACAGTGATGTCCTTAGAAAACTGAAAAACATTGGGACATCTTGGCTATGGAGGAGGAAGATGAAGCCTGTCGATGTAGTTAGTACTGATCTTAATCTCTGACCATGTGAATATGGTCCTAGCCTTTGTAGATTTATAAGCTCAATTACAGTTCATGTAGAACTCTCGAACTCATGTAACGTTGGTCTTCGCTCCTCTGTTCTTCATGGATGCTAGTCCAACGACATCTAGAAATCCAATCACACTGTAGTACTTGTTTGTGTCAAAAGTTGCCTTTTCCATTGTTTTCAAAACCTGTTACACCGTTTATCGATTACAAGTTCAAACTGAAAGAGAAGTTGATCTTTTTATAAGATCTTCTTACAACGAAAAATAAAGATTACAACTTTATCAAACAAAACGCAGCAGTAGTTTATCTCCCGCTACTTTGCGTGGGATCTTTGCCTGTACTGGGGATGCGTTAGTCCGTGGACCACCGCAGATCAACCCGATAGACAATATGATTACGCTCTTGTTTCACGAAGGAAACAATTGCGGAAGCGACAATCACGACCAAGCGAGATTGTGGCTCTTCTCGAGATTAAAACCAAGTTTAATCCGGAGGAAAGAAGGGGAAAGAATCACAAACCTTTTGAAGGGGCTTTCTTTATGAAAGTATTCGCTAAGCTCTGATGATTCTCCTCTGAAATTCGTGGTTAACTGGATAATTTGACAGCACCCCGCCTTCTCAATCTCAGATTCTCTTTAAAGAAGACCCTAGGCTTCTATTTATAGGCCTTTGGAGATATCCTTTTGAATAAGAATTTGTGTTTAAACGTCATCTGCAGTTTATAACCATCTTAACGTGTTTAGAGATAACCTCAAAACAGTTGGAGAGGTTCTGGGACGAAAGAATCCTTAAAAATCATCGAAATCCGTGTTTGGGGAGGTTTTGTATTCAGTAAGAGTCCTGGTGGCTCGGAACTGTGCGAGTCACCATTTGGTGGCTCGAAACTATGCGAGTCACCATTTGGTGGCTCGCATAGGTGCGAGCCACCAATTGGTGACTCGCGCCTACACGGGCCTCCAAGTGGTGTTTCGTTCGCTTTTTTAATACTTTGGCGATTTGTAATTCTTCCATTTCCCTTGTTTTACGTACACTTCGTCGCTTCGCTGACTTGTGCATTCTACTGATCCATTTGATCCCCTTGCTGATGTTGGATAAATTCTCTTGACTTGGATAATAACGTTTATCGTCCTTTCCTTATCTTGAACTGTGTTTAAGGACTTGTGGGTAATTTTTAACCCCTACAGATACCCCCTCCAAAGTGTTTCAGTCTCGTTTCTTTTATAGACGAGCCTGAAATACTTTGGATGTGATAGGCCCTATCTGCAGAAAGACCTGTAATGGGCTTCATCTCTTGACTCCTTCATCCTTCAATCTATTCAACGTTCTATCGAATAGATGAAGTTTTTACGGTTCTGCGTTTATCGTCTGACCGCTGTCGAAGTCTTGAATAGAAACTAAACGGCGTCTTTGATTTGACATTGAGCTGACTATCTTTGTTGGGAATTCATATTTGACGACGTCTTGACAGACATTGGTCAAAAGTTTTGCGTTGAAGCGGGACCAAAACACCCAAAATTTGGCCCAAACAGCTCGCTATATATGTGAGCAAGCGAATGGTGGCTCGCATGTGTGTGAGCCAGCGAATGGTGGCTCGCATGTGTGCGAGCCAGCAAATGGTGGCTCGCATGCGTGCGAGCCAGCAGATGGGGGTTGAGGTGTTGCGAGCCAGCTGTTGGTGACTCGGCTCTTGCGAGTCAGCTGTTGGTGACTCGGCTCTTGCGAGTCAGCTTCGGGCGGAACCTTAAAACCCAACTGTTCTTCTTCCTTTTTTCATATCGACACTTTTTCTTTTGTTCGAAAATTCCTCTCTTCCCTCCTTTTTTTCTCTTTAAGTCCTCCTCGACCTCTTCCAGTCTTCTTCATTCGATCTCTTTAAGTCCTCCTCGACCTCTTCCAGTCTTCTTCATTCGATTTTGGGAGCCCGACTAGGATCTTGAAGCTTCAATTTGGGGATTAGGGTTTTCCAGTCTTCTTCATTCGATTTTGGGAGCCCGACTAGGATCTTGAAGCTTCAATTTGGGGATTAGGGTTTCGATTCTTCCTCAATTGGGTTCGAACCTCGTTCTTGACAACTTCCAGGTAAGATCATTCGTTCTCTCCTCTAGTTTTGATCGGATTTCCATCTTCGGACACTTGATTTATGGCCAAAACTCTCACTATAGATCTAGGGTTTTTTTAGACTAAAACCCCAACTCTTGATTTCTTAGTTGATTTAGACATAAAGACCCAAAAATTGAGTTGCATAAGGGGTCTGATCTGCCATTTTGAAGCCCTAGGTTTGACAGGAATCAAACTTAGACATTCTTGTCCTTTTACTGTGGTCGCCAGTTTGTTTGTGTCAAAAGTTATCTTTTCCATTGTTTTCAAAACCTGTTACACCGTTTATCGATTACAAGTTCAAACTGAAAGAGAAGTTGATCTTTTTATAAGATCTTCTTACAACGAAA